AAACCGGGCTTGCGGAACAAAGTGCAGGGCTGTGTGGCTCACGGCACACAGGGCAGCGCGGCCAGATCCCTGACCACCGACCCAAAGCCCGCCAGGCGGGGCCCGAGGTCTCAGCCTCGCCCGTCACCACAGCACGCGCTCTTTAGCGTGGCATCGCAGTTCTGGAGATCGTCCCCTGCGTTCCTCGCCCGTCTGATCCCCGCGGCCGCCCTGCCTGGCCACGTGTCCGGAGATGGGGCAGCTCTGGAGCCACAGAAACACAGGAGCGACTCTTCTCCTCGGCCGGATGCAGGGGGCTGGCCGGTCAGCATTCAGCGTGAGTGTCCCCAGGCCCCTCCCCTGCTCCTACACTCACACTCACCAGGCGCCTGGACAGCGTGTGGACAGGGCCGCTGGCCAGCTCCTGGGGGAGGGGACATCTCATCACCGTGTATTTTACAGGCTCCCTTCAGGCTTCACACCTCCAGGGACCTTGGTGTCTCTGCTTCCCAAAGGCTCGTCCTGCCCTTCAGGTGACCCTGGCTGATCCCCACGGCATCCTGCCTGCAGCGTCCTGTGGGACCACGTGCATGACACGACCGTGCTGCGGGGAGCGGGGGGACTGCGGGTCCCCTCGTCAGCCTGCTCTGTTCCTGGACATCGCTGCACGCACGGAGCCGGGACTGGGGCTGAAGACTGGCCGGGGACAGCGCCGGCTTCAGAGAAGCTCCGAGCGGACGCAGAGGCCCTGCGCGCGGCGGCCACAGGGAGGCGTCTGTCCCAGGGACCATGCACCCCGCCCACTCATCAGGCAAGAGGCCCGTGTGGAACCGGAGGTGCCGAGGGACAGGGGTGGACCAGGGGACAAGCCCCAGAATCCCGCCGTGCGGAACTGGGAGTCCCTGGGCGACGTGGTCGCCATGACGGCAGAGGACGCTGCACCTGTGCCCACGCCTTCATGGCAACGGCCCCCGGTGGCCGCCTGGCAGGAGTTCAGAAGCGACTGCCCTTCCTTAAACCCGGCCCTGGCAGACATGCCACGTGCGACAGAGTGGGGCCAGCCGGCCCACCTGGGGCCTCCGCTGGAGGGACAGGACAGAAAGGACCTCTGCAGAGACCTCTGCAGCGGATGTGGGGAACAAGCTCACTGGCCGGCCGCACGGCAGAGCGCGGGACAGCGCTGGTCAGACGGTCCTCTGAGTCACCAGGCACCTGTGACAGGTCACAGGAAACTGGGGTCTGGGCCTGGAAGCTCTGACAGGGCAGACGCTTAACGCCTGGGTGCTGCCCCTGCACCAGACAGACCGCGTCTCTCCCAGGCCTGGAAGATTCCCGAGCCGGAGGAGCCGCGAGGCCTCTGAAGTGGGGGCGGCGGGGGGGGGGGGCGACCTTGGGGCGTCGGAGAGAGGACGTCAGCCCACCCACGCCCAGGGCGCCTGCAAATGACCTGTGCCGGGCAATGGTGGCCCAGCCATGGGAGAGCGGGGAGTGAGCCCTGGAGACCAGCAGCAACGCGGGGCACGTAGAGGGGGCGGTCGCAGCGGTGACCAGAACAGGCGGGCCGTGCCTGAGGCAGCTGTACACGAGTGTCCCCTCGGATGCAAAGGCGGCTGCTCGCTGGGGCAGCCCTCACCACTCCGGTCCTGTGGGACGCGTGTGGAAAAGGCCTGGAGACAGGCCAGACGAGGGGCAGAGGGGAGAAAGCACAGCTCGCGGCCCGTGGGGCCCGTGTCCCACGGTCCCTGCAGCCCGTGGGGTGGCTGAGGCCCACGCTGACGGGTTAGAACAGGCGGACGAGGGCTTCGGTGGCGGAGCTGCTGGGGCTGACAAGGGGGCCGCCCCGGGCTCGGTGTCACAGTTAGTGTGGAAATGGGACTCATGTCCCAGACTGCAAGGGCCACGTGGACAAACAGCGCTGCAGGTAACAAAGAAGCCAAGTGAGGTGCTGAAAAACAGAAGCGTTAAAACCACAGGTGACTTGATGTAGAACCTTAAACAGGTGACACAGTTCCTCCTGGCTCAGTGGCGGTATTTCCTCACGAGGACTCACACTCACGTGGAAGCGGGGACTGAGCGCTGCAGGTAACAAAGAAGCCAAGTGAGGTGCTGAAAAACAGAAGCGTTAAAACCACAGGTGACTTGATGTAGAACCTTAAACAGGTGACACAGTTCCTCCTGGCTCAGTGGCGGTATTCCCACACGAGGACTCACACTCACGCGGCAGGGGGGACTGGAAACCAGCTTATTCCCACACGAGGACTCACACTCACGTGGAAGCGGGGACTGGAAACCAGCTTATTTAGACGAGCAACTTAATTTTCTCTATTTCGTGTACAAAAACAGAAATAGATTCCTATTTACGTTCCTTGCAAGGTTTCCAACCTTTTCCACTTCTCTTGATTTTTATGGTGTGGTTAAAAAAGAATGTGCCGCTGCAATTGGTTTTATAGATCCCGCGAACTCGATGAATCTTACTTTGTCACATGTCTATTCCTGAAAAGTTGGTTATTGATTATTGTGTGAAACAAATACAATTTTAATTGAACTAAAATGGATTGATATTTTAAAAAACAATATTAAAGAGACTTGTTTTGCTTAATTTTATGAGTACTCTTTCTACCCCAAAATAAAAAAGTACATATAAATGATTTTTTATCAATAACAATGTTTCTAAATGTTAGGTATTTATGGCTCAGATTTTTTTTTATATCGGGCAACATTTAGACCATTATTTTCTAGAAGGAAAACTGAGTTAGTGAGTTGCCTCCTGCATGGAGTGAGTGAGTTGGTGACATATGCCCCAGTTCACCTATATTTTGGTGCTCAAACTCATTAGCAAAAATTGTCAATTATTTGACAATTTAAAAAGTTACTTGTATATTAATGATTGTTACTAAAATGCGTGTATACACTACATATTTTTATAGAAATTTACAAAATATGCATTGTTCCATTCAATTCCAAAGCTAAAGTTGATGACCAAAAAGAAAAATAAATATGGCCTTGGGTCATAATTATTAGCGTCAGTGGTCGAATGTATCTCCTGTGACTGGGTTTATACAAAACGGACTCTACCAAACGTCATTCTCAGACCCACAGAAGTAATCTACAT